TATATATATTATATATATATATATATATATATATATATATATATATATATATATATATATATATATATATGTGTGTGTAGTATATATATAATATATATATATATATATATATAGTATATATATATATATATATATATATATATATATATATATATATATTACACATCATCTAAATCCAATATTCATAATCAAATATACACACCGGTTGATGGTTCTCCATCACCACGGGCAGGTGTTCCGAACTCCGCGAGTACTGCATTGTGCTTGCGTAGGGTCTGTTACTGCTATTAGGACTTCTTGTCGGCGATTGGTGTCTGAGGTGTGCGCTGGGCGTGTTCAGAACATCATACATAGGCAAAACAGCCTCACTAAGGCAAGAGATGGAGTTACTTCTCAAAAAGTTGTGGTCCACATTCCCGCCCACATTCCTCGGATTGAACCCGAATTCTGGGCCCCCATTCCCCAAATTCCCGCTCACATTCCCCAAATTCGGATCCAGGTTGAATTCCAGCGAGGGAAAGTCGCTTAAAGGCGCGAGATGTGTCCGGCCCAATGGGGATACTACGTGAGATATGTGTGGCACTGGTGGGATTCCAAAGTTCGAGACCGAATCGACAGAGTGAGACGAAGCATCCCCAGGTACTTGCATCTGGGGTATACTACGTTCACGAAACGAACCTGAATGTATGTAGATGAATAAAAGACGTAATCGCATATAAGCTGAGTTGTCGAGAGTTATGATCAGAATGTTGTTGTGAATAGGACTGCGATACATATAAGCATGGAATAAGAGGAAAATCTAGGCAGATATATATATAGTTTGAATCCGGGGTATACTACGATCATGCCGAGATGCTGAAAGTACCATGATAGACATTATGTATGAGCGGGTTAATGGCGCTGTCGAGAATGAGAATATAATTTGTAGTTGCCAACTACGATGAGCCACAGACAAGCATGGGATATATATGCGAAGGTATATATACCCATTTTGCATCTAAGTCATGCTACGCAAACGGAGTGAGCCTGGATATAACTTGTAGTAGACGTATTGGACTGCTGGTTCACCTATTGCAATAAATTTTGACAAAATAAAATACATGAGAATGTAGGATGTATGCCTAGAATAGACGGGCTATAGAGAATCATACGTTGAAATGCCACGTAGATAAGCAATGAATATGCATTAAAATCAACTAGAACGTTTCTGATTTTAAATGCAGCTTGTACCTGGGGAATACCTTATATACACAAAGACCTGGGTGCTTGTAATGAACAATGAATGCAACTGCACTTGTGATATTACTGTCAAAGTCAGCAATGCCTGTGAAAGTAAGACTGCTTTGTAGTAAACAGCCATGACTGTAGCAGTAAAACAAAAGGACTAAACGTATCAATTAAGTGTACTCATTGTCCCAACTGAATACTTTTGTGCTCATACCATGAATTTGAGTTCATGCCTCTGTAACAATAATGAAAAAGTTTCGCTATAAAACTTGTCCTGCAGATGAGCCTGCAACTTTAAAGAGAATACAGCAAATGTAACTATACATGTACATAATCCGATTAACTTCTGATAAACAACACCGCTCACGCATCATGACAAAAAGTAATCCAAAAAAAATGGTGTAAAGGTAGTCATTTAATGTCCAGTGGTTGACTTGAACGAGGAGTGCGTATTTACAACGACACTATGGGAACGCGATAGTTTTTTGTGCGCACATTCGCAATTTATATATATATATATATATATATATATAAATATATATATATATATATATATATATGTGTGTGTGTGTG